GCTCCCTACAGCAGGTTGCACAGGAAAGCATCCAGGCAGGTTTTGAGTATCCTCATAGAAGGAGACTCCACAGCCCCTCTGGACAGCCTGTTCCAGTGCTCTGCCAACCGGAAAGAAGCATTTCCTCACGTCACACGGAACTTCCTCTGCTCCAGTTTGTGCCCACTGCCCTGTCACTGAGCACTACCGAAAAGAGCCTGGCCCCATTTTCTTGACTCCTGCCCACTAAGTATTTATGAGCATTTATAAGATCTCCCAGTCTATTTCAGGCTGAACAGATCCAAGTCTCCCAGGCTTTCCTCATAAGGGAGACGCTCCAGGCCCCTAGCCATTTTGTGGCCCTCCACCAGACTTTCTCTAGAATTCCTTCTCTTTCTTGACCTGCGGAGACCAGAAGTGGACACAGTACTCCAGATGTGGTCTCTCCAGGGCACTATAGGATGGGCAGGATCACCTCCCTCGACCTGCTGGCTACGCTCTTTTTAACGCGCCCCAGGACTCAATGGGCCTTCTTGGCCACCAGGGCACACTGCCAGCTCATGCCAACCTGTTGTCCGCCACAACTCCCAGGTCCTCATGTCCATCAGGTCATCATAATGAGCAACTCCACTACCACGTCCCACCACATCTCCGTGACTGCAGTGAGGTCGTGATCCTCCAGCTACACACTGAGCTCTAATTCTTTCTGATTCTTCCTGCTACATGCATTGGTATCCAGTCACTTCAGAGAAGAAAAGAGAGTAGAGGTTGCAGCGATCTCTAGAGGAATGCAAGAGGATCTCCCACTGCCACACACACCCGTGAATAATAACTGTGCTTTCCATTAGAGAGCATACTCTCTAAATTCCACTTTCAAAATCACCTAGGATAAAAACTAGAAAGTAATTAACTCTGGCAGCTCATAATTGAATTTCCACAAGACAAGATGCCACATCTGAAAACTCTAATTTCAGACTATATTATCATAACAAAGATACCTGAAACATGAGCTATACTAGGAAGTTCAATAGGTTATAGTTTTAATTTTTAAGACCAGTATGCTCTGTTGATAAGAATGTGAATGCCAATCCACTGTAACCTGAACAAAGATGCTTTATGCTGAAGTATTTACAATCTCACCTATAGAAGCAGCTGCAAGTAGCACAAGCACTTTGCCAATATGAATGTGTACAGATTCCTTGCAGTGTACTGCTGTAACTGTACTTTGGTTAACTGATAGTATTTTGTAAGGTTAGCTACACCAATATTTTACTTCAAGATAGCCGATCCATCACATACATACAACTGACTGTATGTACGCTCTTAGCCCATGGCAAAGGCAGGATAATTGGAGCTGTTTTGTCCTGCTTCACGGAAAACTCAGATGGCTCAAATTCTTTGAATTTGCTTCAGGCTAAGCTCACACACATGGACAGCTATAATGGATCCAATGACTGAAGGAGAATACTGGTGGGGCTAAGCCTAGTGCTGCAATAAATCACAAATCCTCTTCTTCCCCGGTACTTAACAAAACAAGGCTCAAGTTAGATTTGGCCCTTTGAGAGTTACAAACTTGAGTGAATAGACAAGTGGTAAATAACCAAAAAGCTCCTTCATCCTACAGTCTATGTAAGAGCAATATTAGCCATACAATTACTTGTATACACAGATGAAGATCTGGGCAGAGTTAGTCAGTTAACTCAGATCTTAACTACTCTAGATTTGCCAGTTTTGCTTATTTTACTGGTTGCTTTTTTTTTTCCTTTATCGCCTTGACGTTTTCTGCCACAATGCACTCCAGGCTTAGCAAACAGTTTTTAAAACGTTAAGTCTTCAAGATCTGTCCATCAGCAGTGCTTAAAGCACCTTCATACTTTCCATTTGTGCACTCAGATACTATGTTATCTTTTCCATTCCGTTAAGCAAAACCAGAATGAACATTATCTCACACAGCAGCCATGAATTGTTGTGTTACCCCTAGTTACCCTCTCATTTTTCCACCCATTTCTCTGAGAGCGATCAAATGTAATGAAAAACTAATTGATTTTTGTTGGACAAATGCTGAGGCACATTTAGGCACTAAAATCGATGTATGACTGCAAGCCCACCAGGAGTTAAAAATCCTACAACAACGAGCATGTCCAAATTGCCAATCACTGAAATACATCTCTAGTTCCAGTTCCTTTGAAATTCATGTCAAATCAAGGCTTGTACAAATGAAACTACGAAGAAAACATGAAAAGGTGCAACTAACTCATCACTTAGTCGTTACCTGGTCATCTGACATTACTGTGCATGCTCCTTGGAACCTATCTGGACATTATGTATTCCACAGCGTATGTTGAACACAAGAGCATCACCACCTCTATCACTTCCTCTGCTACTTTTTTTAATGGAAAATATAAAATGTGCGTATCTATAATTGTACAAAAGTCCTATCTTGTCAGCTGTGCAGGAAACTGACAACGCTATTAGAAATTCTCCTTGAAAACTGACATTGCAGAGTATGTCAGTAATTGCTGATGATGTCATATGAGAAACTGCAGCAACAGCTCAGAGCAGAGCAGCGCTCTCCTGAGACTCCAGCCTGGGCAAGTTGTACTGAAATGCTGCAAGAATGTTTCTGAAATTTAATACCACTTTTCAAAAACTTTACTGCACACAATTCATCAAGCCAAAGGTACGGTTCCAGGAAAGAAGGTCCATCTGTTTTTCTGCTGGGTTTCTTTATTTAAGGCTCACATTTAATCAAGTTAAAGTTTTTGGATATATTGGAATGCAAAGAATTAATAACTTAACAACTAGATAAGTGACTCTATGCTTCTCCTTGAAATACTCTCTTCTGATTTTAATTATAACTAACTGGAAATAATTGCCAACTTGCAATATAGACTTATTAAATACGATACCTTTACACTTTTCACCTACAAAGGAGGTGACAAGGACTCTGGATCTATTTCCATTCACAGCCTTGCTCTACCTACCATTTATATCACTTGGAGCAGGAGAATCTCATACATACCTTAATGATCAATACATAATGTACTGAACCATAGCTGCAGTGCACTGAAACTGTCCACCTGATTTTTAAGCTATATTCTGGCCTTAAAACTTATAAAATTAGCAAAATGTTTATGTAAAAACCACAGAACACACTTCAACAAACAACATCTGGCAAAAGCCTACTGAAGGTCTATCACATAACGCAGCAGTGCCACTAGAGGTAAATAGAAGAAACTCCACTTTTACTGCAGGGTTATTCTTTATGGACACCATTCTCTGCATCAACATCCACCCCAAACGTAATTTCATAATGAAATCTTTTGTCAAACTTCATTTAATCCAAGAGTCTCACCATTCAGTTGCCATCTATTGAGAATACTTCATTTTTGCAAGAATCTGCTACCCCAAATACAGGCTGACTGAACAGGGAGATTTGAATTTCTAAGGCCTCTTTTTAGATATACTGCAGTTGAATAGACACTTATCATTCATGACTTAGACTATCAAATTATGGCTTGAGTCAAGGATGTGGTTTGGCTGAACTTCCTCCTGTGATAAATTAGATTAATAGTTTACTAAAAATTAAGCTAAAATATCAACGCTGCAATCAAAATTACTCAAAGCACATATACTGCAGAGGATATTTAAGGATCTGGCACGTAACTAGCAGTTCATAACACTACAGATCCAGGCATCCACTCTACTGCCAGGAACTGTCATCCCATAACAAGAACAAAAGAAGTGTCTGTTTGTACCACCTCAACCATCGCAGTTAACAATATGGAGTACAAATCCAGAATGCCAGCAGTAGCTTAAGCACCTAAGTCAGAACTTTGAACCAAGATGTTATTGTGAGCAGGTAAGATTGCTTGCCAGAGCTCATTCATCACATCTCTTAGATATGCTAAGTTTATGTTCTGCGGACTGAAAAACTTCTGAGCAGCTAGAGGCGTTTTCAGGAGCAAACTTTTGCCAGGCACACATAACATCCCAGACTCTTGAGCTGACCTTCGAGTTTTATTAAAGGCATTCTAATACTAAGCAGGCACACACACACTTAGTTACAGAAAAAAAAAAAAACAACCCAAAAACACGCTTCTTTTGAAGATTAATCTATCAGACTTGCAGAGCATTATCCTGGATTCCATCTTCCAATATTTCCTTTAAAAGTTGCATGTGCAGCTGATTCCAAGACTTCAAAACATCTCCACTGTGTTCTGAAAACATTTATCTAAATACGTATTTTCTCATTTCCTGTAATGCTAGAGGAGATGTCTTTTGTCAAGTAAAACTGACCATGTTTGAATATTAGGAAAAAAAGTGGGTTACCTAGTTGCAGCTTTTACTTAGGACTAAATACCCGGCAAGTGAATGCAGCATAAGCACAACAGTATGAGAGTTCCTCCTTATGGAATGCTGCCAGAATTATCTGTTCAGATAAATGACCTGACAAAAAGCAACCATAAATAAGGTTACTCTTTCAACATGATAAAGTTGACTCATGTTCTGCCCAAGCTGGTTTTGTATAAAACAGCAAATAAATCTAAGAGATAAATATAATGCAAAAGGGATGCTTTTATTTCAGATAAGTTTGTTGATTTGTTCAGGAACCACTTAGGCAGCAATTTTTGGCATATCTAAAATGGTTTCTCTGAGTATGTGCAACTCAGATCCGTTCCCATCATATGCACTATAAATACTGACTATTTCATGTCCCACCAAAGCTAAAGTGTTGAAAAAGACCATGAAGAATTTTAAAATCTTCTCTGAAATTATCGAATTTACAACTTGAAATTTACTTTCAGTGAAAAAAGTAGCAATATTTTTACAAATAAATGCTTAAGCATGCAGTCCAGGGATCCCTTTGAAGACAAAGGATCTTGTATACTACATATATTTAAGAGAAGATATATTTTTTTTTTAAACTGAAATAGAATTCAAACTTGGGCATAAACAATGCTGTGCAAAAGAATTTCTGAACAGATCTTCCCTTCCAATTAAAACATTTAGAGACCTACCAAATCCTGGAATGCTTTTGAGACTGGATTTGAGACAGATTTTTTCAAGTCTGAGGTAGCTGTATCGCAGCAGGCAGTTCCACAGGAACATCCAGTCCATTCGTGTGCGATGGTTCATGATAATGACACTCCTTTCTCCAGGAACAAATCCATCACCAGTGACAACCACCTTGGCACCAAACACCATCTCCAGCAAAGCCTACAAATAATACATCTAATTTTATGACTTTACTCACCGAAGAAAAACAACAGTCTATCATCAATGCAAATTAATCTCAGTGACATCACTTCATTTGTTCACGCTCACTATCACTGGTAAACAAATTTGTTTCCTAATAAAAAAACAGTTTTTCAACAAGGATCAAGATTGTGACACTATCAGTACTCAGCTATATTTCATCGCAGCAAGAAATTACAGTCCCTATATTCTCTTCACTGATAATTATTGCTTACCTCCTAATTTCATTGCAGTTAGTAAAGGAGAAAAGGGTAAAATATTAGAAGATGAACCTCCCAACCCTTCAAAACAAACAGAACAAAAAAAAAACAACCACAATCTGATATGTAACAAACCTTCATTTATGTCACTACATATGCATTTCTGAGCACCAATACAGTATCTTATTCCAGAAAAACAAATCTTAAAAGGCAGAGGAACAAAGTCCCTTGATTTCTGGAGAGGAGATGAAGGGAGAGACCTTATGCACATCACCTTTCTACAGGAAGAGCTCAAAGAAGAAACCCCCAGCTACAGAGTTGATGCAATGTGAGGACAACTTTATCTCTAAAGGAATTCCTTCTTTTCGACCTGAGACCGTTTGTCTAATATAACTAGATGAACTAAATTCTATGAGGATTAAGTCAGAGAATAGCGAAGGTCAGCAGTGCATACCATACAGTAAGTAATTTCTGTAATTAGATAGCTGGAGCACAGTTGGAAGCAGAAGTTTATAAGAAGAGTCATTTAGGAATCTCTGCAATTTAAAAGAACCTTTTGCTTGTTAGTGTTTCACCCACTCTTCTCAGATCAGCATTTGACAATGGATAAAGATAACAAGAAAAGGCCTTTTCAAGAGTACAAACAACACACAGCAGTGATTTATCTATACATTAAGCTGTAGAAGAGAGGGACTGTAGACAGGAATACAGCCAACATTCACTGAGCTGAAGTATTACCCTTCACAGATGGCTAAGAAAGTTACGGCCTGTTTAAAAAACAAATTATTGAAAAAAACATTAGTAAGCAAAATGAACAATTACTCAGAACTTGGTTCACACTGTAACTTACCACTGGAAGTGTGAGCCACGTGGCCACAATGCGGTCGGTGATCCAGCGATACCAGGCCGGGGAGATAAACATCAAAGGTAGAAAAGGACCAAGCATGAAAATACTTCCAAAAAAACTTCCCAAAAACAGTGCAACTACGAAGTATATTCCTTTCCATGACACCATGGCTCTGAAAAAGAAAGTCAGCAATATGTTAGACAGGCAAAGTAATTATAGAACTCTTCAGACCTGTAGGTTCAGTATGAGGTAGCATTCCTCCTTCTTTTCATAGCTAACAACACAAAATGATAGTAAAAGCAAAAAGCAAACAAAGTGTTCTACCTCACAAGTAGCTTTTGGAGAACAACTACATAAACACAGTAATCTGTAAGACACACTAGCATAACGGTCAAAAAGTACCAGCTACAACATAATTTCCATCACTTACTGCAATATGCAGTTCCATTCTGAAATCTTAAGAAGGCTACTTTTTAACATGGGAAGGCACAGAAGACGCCTTACTGTGAAACAGTTTTGCTTGGAAGGGTCCTTAAAGCCCACCCAGCCCTACTCCTGCCCAGGGCAGGGCTACCCCCAACCAGGGCCCAACCAGCCTGGTCTTGGGCACCTCCAGTAATGGGGCACCCCCAGCTCTGTGGGCAACCACCACCCTCTTAATAATTTCCACCTCGCATCCAATCTAATTCTCCACTTATAGCTTAAAGCCATTCTCCCTTCTCCTATTACTATCAGACCATGTAAAAAGTCCTCTTGCTCCTCAGTTTCCATCAAGTACTGGAAGGCTGCAATGAGGGCTCCCCAGAGCCTTCTGCAGGCAGAACAAGTCAGCTCTCTCTGCCTTTCTTCACAAGAGAGGCATTGCAGCTCTTTGATCATCTTCAGAGCCCCTGTTCCAACTGTTCCTAGTCCTTCCTGTACTGGGGACCCCAGAGCTGAACACAGTGCAGCAGGTAGGGCCTCAAGAGAATAGAGTAGAGGAGGACAATCACCTCCCTCACTCTGCTGGCCACACTTCTTTTGAAAGCAGCCCAGGATACAGTTGGCTTTCTGAGCTGCAAGCACACACTGCCAGCCCATGTGCCATTTTTCATCAATAAACATCTCCAGCTCCCATCTCCTCAGAGATGTTCTCAATTCATTCTCCATCCAGCCTATATTTGTGCTTGGGATTGCCCTGAGCTACATGCAGCACTTTGCACTTGGCCTAGCTGAACTTCGTGAAGTTTATATGGGCCCACCTCTCCAGCCTGGCCAGGTTCCTCCTCTCCATTGTGCTGTTTACATCACAAAGCTTGGTGCTGTCAGCAAACCTGCTGTGGATGCACCCAGTCCCACTGTTTGCATCGCCAAAGATGTTGTACGATATAGGTCCCAATACCAATGAGATATTTGACATAAGTAAAGTACAAACATTAGCAATTTCTAAAGATAAGAAACTTTGCTTTTTTACTTCTCCATCTTGTTTCTTCTTTCTAAGCCCATAATTACAGAAGTTTGCCTTACTGTCTAACCAGGATCAATGTCTGACCTTCAGAAACTATTTGAACTTACAACTGATCAGTCATTCTGAGCAAGATCTTCCTTTTCAACGCAACAGAGCAGGCAAGCAGCATCTGCAGTCTCCCAGCTCACTCTTAGTGCATTTCTGACTCTTTGAAGTCTGCTGTACTTCCACTGTCCTTCTCAGTTATTTTCCAAAAAGCCAATAGCTTTTGCTTGAGAAAGTCACTGACACTTGAAGTAATTCAGTGCCTATGCTAGCTGCTAGACTGCCTTATTACAAATGCACAACGCACAGAGCTTCTGAATGCATTATGGCAGAACACGCAGCGATCCTCCAAGCAACTGTAATAGCTGTGAGCTTTCATAATTTAGCAACTACTACCAGTTATGACAAAGCAGATGTGGAAATATCAGTTCTTTAAATTAGGGCCTAAATATAGACTGTTTTCAACTATTTACAGCTCAGCCAATTGTTTATAAAACGAAAGGTTAAGTAGAAGTCACTTTCCAGTCACTTCACTGAATTCTTGTTTCGACAGGCTATTTTAGAAATTGTAAGAGCTCAGATGGACAGGACTTCAAAAGAAGAAAAACAGGAAGCTGGTGTTCTTAATTGGAAGTCAGCAATGGAAAAGTAATCCATTAAGACTTGTGTACTCTAAGATTTAATCCATTAAGACTTGTGTACATTCGTGATTTATCTCAAGCTTGTTTTGTGCCACGTCCATAGCAATATTGTTTCCACAGCAAAGTATTCCAAAGTCAAAAACCACATCCCGATTGTCGCTAGCACAGAAACCTGCTTCTTCTACTTGACACTGATAACTCACAAAAAAGTAACAGCATTTGGGGATGATTTTATGTTTAAACAGCTTCATCATGTGCATTTTTGAAGGAAGGCTGAGAGCAGAGACCATACAGATTTGTCAGCGTATGAAGGAAACAAAGTTGTACCAAACTTGATTTCTGCAGCACGGCAAGAAGAGTAACACTAAACGTTAACTACTGATAGCTGTATCAGAAAGATTTTGGAAAGAGTAGAATTTGAAGTTGTTTAAAAAACTACACACTGTTTACATTCTGGAGTGCACAGCCCTCTTTTTGTTGCAAGAAGCAAGGCATGAAGAACCAGCTGGTCACATCTGCACACACTAATAGGATCTATTTTAACATATCAAAGGGTCCTTGAAGAGCACTGCGCCAACTGCTCTACATGCTTTCTTGTATGTGGTACAGCAGTGAAGGAAGGAAGGCTGAAACAAACAGCTGAGGGCAAAAGAAACCCAGAGAATAAAAGAAATAGCAGCAGGCAAAGGAAAGCACTAATTGTAGCAGGTCTAGAAACACTCTTCCTAAAATTCCCAGATTTGAGTCCTGCAAAAGGGAACAGACAGCATTAAAGTTCAATATCACTGATCTGATCAGGCACACGCACTTTTTGAGGAACAAACACAGCAAAACAACTGAAAACAGCTTTCCAACCCACCAGCAGCACAAGCACAGCACTTGGTCAGCTTCAGCCAGCTGCAGCGGTTCTCTTGGAGGCTGCTCAGAGCCACCGCTCAGCACAGCAGGCACGCACACATCTGTCTGCCACCCCGGCCCCAGGACACAGCTGACAGCACCCAGATACCCACAGTTTTCCTAAGAGAAGGCACTGCTCTGCCATCCTCCCAAAGTCTTTTTGAAAGCAATCTAGGTCACTTGCTTGCAGACTGAGCTTTTCAGTTTACATTATTCCTTCCCTCAAATTATAGCACGGAGCCAAATATTTAAGAAAAATCCTTTCTGTATTTTATATAGAAGACTGTCTTGTAAACATAATTTCTTTTTTTTTCAAGATTGAAGTATGTGAGCTATGGTAAAGACTTGGGGAAGTTCTGAAGTTTCCCTTCTTTCACCTGCACTCCAGCAGCATTTTGTTCATTGTAACAGTATATAAATATATACTGCATCCCACTGGGATGACCACTGCCATGCTTATTCCTAAACACAGAAGATCATAGAAACCACAGAATCATTTCAGTTAGAAGGAACCTTTAAATATCATCTAGTGCAACTCCCCCTGAAATGAACAGGGACACTCACAGCTAGAAGAAAGATAACATGTGTTTTTGTCATTCATCTCTTGCAGGTACATTTTGAAACTGTGATACATACTGCATTTTGTTCATTACGTATGTAAATAAAACATATTACCTTCACACTTGCACGCATGCTTTCATGTAGAATAATGGATAGAGCTTGCCACTGACTAACTTCCAGCACAATGAAGTACATACCATGAAAGCACATATGAGAAACAGAAAAACAGCTCCTAATGAATTCAAGCAGAACTGCAAAGAAAGAACCCTGTGCTAAGGTGAAGAACAGCAGAGCGTAACCATCCAGCTGGCCTCCTGCACGCAGCAGTCAGCAAGACCATTTTAGTAACCAGGTGACATTGTTAACACTCCCAATTCATTTGCTCTTGTTTGTGGGTGCACATGATGGAATTACAGCCTGGACAACAGGTTACGTGATTAAAAACGCTCCTTCAGAATGACCTCCCTCAACCTGCTGGTCACGATTCTCTTCATGTGACCAAGAACATGGTTGGCCTGGGCTGTGAGTGCACACTGCTGGCTCACACCGAGTCTTTCATCAACCAGCACCCTCAAATCCTTCTCCTGAGGGCTTCCCTCATGCCATTCTCCATTCAGTCTATATTAGTGCTTGGGACTGCACCAGCCCAGGAGTATGATAACTCTACTCCTATCTCACACCTAGCTTGGAACCAGAGTGTTCTTGTACACACACATCACCTACCCTAAGTCTAGCATATGCATTTAATGAAAAATGCAAAAGTACACACCAAGAGTTTCAAAACATGATTGCAAAAGCAACCACACTGGAAAGGTACCTCATGAGAACTTGTACAAATGGCCTGATGCAAAAGTGAAAATCTGAAAACAGAGAAAACCCAGAGCTGATTCATTCGAGAGATGAGATACCCAAGAAATCAATCAAACGATTACATGGAAAGTCTGAGCAACAGAAACCAAGCATTTTCAAAGTACAAAAGTACTTCCTTATTGCTGTTGACAACTCTCTCTTCCTATAGCAGTAGTTAGCCCTGGATTTGGAATACATAAAGACTTCTGTCCTTTTCAGAGCCACTCTCTGTTGGAGCTCTATCAGAGCTGCGGGAAGATGGTCAAAACTATTTTGAGACTCAGACTCAAAGCTGCAAACAGAAAGACAGCATCCACGTTCTGGGTTTAGAGCTCTTCATCTGTTTTGTGGCAGAACTCCAAGTTATTGAGATACTCTTCTTGTTCTTGTCGCCATAGCAGAAGGAAAACATGCGCTGTCTCCAGGTAACAGGAAACAGTAATTCTTAAAATACAGTTTTTGTTTTACATTTTAGTTAATTCTAAAAATTCTTGGCTACGATGGGATAAATTATTTCCCAAAGCAACTGCATTTCTGTCAAGCTCATCTTAATTAAAATATTTTCTTGAATTTATTCCACAATTCCATGCAGTTTTTGCATAGTAACATAAAGTAGAGGCATCTTCCTGTGATCTGGTATTCTGGTTCAGTTCATTTATCATCTTTATGATTTTATTTAAGATATAGCTGGAAAGACAAACCATGGCTTATTATGATGTTTTCAGAAGGCCT